AATGAGACCAGAAGGACAAATAGACTCTGTGGCCCTGATGGCTTCTGTAGAGGAGCAGATTCAGCTGTGAGAGCCCAGCTTTATCCCACCCCTCCCATCTAGATGTGTATAAGAGACAGACCTACTCATGAGCCCGGGAGATAGGAAATCTTGGTCCCATTTTATAGATGGGGAAACAGGCCCAAGGAAAGGAAGAGGCTTTTCCAAGACTGTCTACCTGGTTTAGCAGGAGGGACAATGACATTATGGAAGCTTCAGAGAAGGGAAAGAGCTTCTGTCTGTGTAGCTCATTGCCCCAGGCTCTGCCTGCCTGTGAAGCACCAGAGCTGGGTCTGAGCCCTGTGAGTACCTTTAAGCACAGTGCCCTGTTTCATTCATTCATTTGTTTATTTAACCAGTACTAAGCACCTACTCTACCGCCAGGCGTTGAATGGACCGTGGGGATACAGCACTGAAAAAAGGCCAAGTCCTTGCCCTCATGAGCTAACATTCTGATGACAGAGGCATTTACCCTCATATAAATAAATAATATTTCTCTTTCTGTCCCTGGATTTTGCAATTAGGAGACACTTAATTTAAAAATAATTTAGGCCTGCTTCGGTGGCTCATTCCTATAATCCCAGCACTTTGGGAGGCTGAGGCAGGAGGATCCCTTGAGACCAGAAGTTCAAGACCAGCCTGGGCAACAAAACAAGACCCCATATCTACAAAAAACATTTTTAAAAAAAATTAGCCAGGTTTGGTGGCATGTGCTTATGGTCCCGGCTATTTGGGAGGCTGAGGTGGGAGGATTGCTTGAGTCTAGGAGTTGGAGGCTGTAGTGAGCTATGATTGTACTACTGTACTCCAGCCTGGACAACATAGCAAGACCCTGTCTCTAAAGATAATAATAATAATAATTTAAATGCTGTACCTAGACATTCAGAACAAAAGAGAGGCATTTAATTAAACTAGTGTTATCAAAACTGTTGTTGTCTTTTCATAATCAAGGCAGTTGCAGCTATGAAAATCTCACAAGTACCCTCAACATCTATAACTATTATATATCAATTTTTTAAAAAAAGTAGTTGTAGCAAAAACAGATTCTGATTCTCTGTAAGGAAAGGCTTTCGTTAGAATATTCAAAAGGAGCAAGGTACCTCTGAGTGTAGAGAGTTTCCTGTTGCTGAAGGTGTTCGTTTAATTCGACAAACACTTACGAAGTGCTTACTATAGACCAGGCCCTGTGCCTGACCCCGGGAAACAAAGACGAATGAGAAATAGCCCCTGTTTTTACCTAACTCACAGTCTTGCAGATACAGAAGGGATTCAAATAACAGTTCAATTCAACTTAGCAAACTTTTATCAGGTGCTTACTGTCGACTAGACACACTGTTAAAGGTTATTTTCAACTCTACGATTTTTAGTCCCTTATGGTCTTTTATTTTCAGGATTGATAGCTGTCCCTAAATTAGTCCCACATGCAAAATGTCCTCTAATTAGGGAGGAACTGGCGTCTGTTATGTTTATGCTTAAGGGAGGAGCATATCTGTCGAATGACAAGCCTTTCCTTTTGCATCATAACCACTTGGACTTTGTCTTACATCCTTCCCACCAGCTACAGAGATCAGTGGTGGCATCAGGGGAGAAGCAGTTACAAGTGGAGTACCGCATCAGCAAAAGGTAAGAAGGGCCCTTCCTTGGTCATACCTGCTGCCCACCCTCAGGCCCGTAGCATACCTGACTGCCAGTCAGCAATAGCCGTTCAGGGACCGCCAGAGGTGGAGAACCCCTAGTTCACGTTTATAGCGATACATTCTTTTTAAGAGGGAGAAGTTTCCACTCCCCTTTCCCAGATTGTTAGATCATCTGAGGATTTAACTAGAAGGCCATTCGAGAGAGACTTGGAAGAGCTCCTCTGGCCTAAACCAAAAAATAAGTCTGTAGTTGTTCTTCTAAACAGGATTGCTTTTCCAGAAGATACAGTCCTGTCTACATTTGTAATTTTAACTTTACAAGATTCTGTTCCCACCTCCTGACTCATATTCAAAGCATGACTTGCCAACAATGAGACCAGAAGGACAAATAGACTCTGTGGCCCTGATGGCTTCTGTAGAGGAGCAGATTCAGCTGTGAGAGCCCAGCTTTATCCCACCCCTCCAGCCCTGCCCAGCCCCCACTGCAGCCCTTTACTTGCATCCACCAAAGACATGTGAGACAGTGATGTCAGCATCCTTGGCAAGAGGCCAGACCTCAGAATGGGGATTCGTTTGTGCTGTCTGGGAAGGGAGGTGAGTGATCAAAGCTGTGATTCAGAATCATTTGGCTTAACTTACTTGGTCTGGTACATTAAGGGCCTTTCATATTAGTAGTTATTCTCTAAGCTATGGAAGGTCCCTATGACCTCAGCTTCATTGCTTTTTCTAACCTTTCTGATATTGTAGTGTCAGAGAGAAAATTCAGCCTTGGGTTAATTGCTTCCAGGGGAGCAGGTGGTATTTTCTTCCCGTTTCAGAACAAGAAACTACTTTCTTTCTCTACTTGCATCACTCTTCAGCTCTTTGACTTTTGATTCTGTCCTCACAACTTCACTGGAGCTGGTCTCCCAAAGGTCACCAGGGAACTTCTAATTATCAAATCATTTTCCTGCTCGCACACCTTCGCTGACTACCCATTATCCATAAAGTCAAGTCCAGATTCCATATCACAGTGTTTTCAGCTTTCTATGTCATGCCCTGAGGCTGCTTCTCCAGCTGTATCTCCCGTTACTTCTTCCTATCTCCTTATGCATAATTGATTGCCACACCTCCATGTCGGTGCTTATGCTGTTTCTTCAGGCTGGAATACTCCTACATCTTTTCCATCTATTGAAATTTTATGTACCCTTCAAAATTTGGCCTAAATGTCACCTGAGTGCCCCACTGGAATGAACTTCTTCTTCCTCTGTGCTCCCCAGCACTTTAAAGTCTGTTTCTCAATTTTTCACTGTACCTTACTTTGTTCTTAGTTATATTTGTGTTTGTCCTTTCTCCCATAATCCATGAGCTCTTAGAAGGCAATAACCCTGTCTTGGGGATCTCTGTAAACCTAAGAGCATGTGGCATAGCACTCTGCTTGCACTCTATTTAAAAGAATGAACACATTAGTTCATCAAAAGCAAAGAGCAAAGAAATGGTCTTCCATATCATGCCAAGGCTCTTCCCTCAGAGCTTTATGGTCTCCCCAGGAGGCCCACTGGCTTTAGGGAGCACTTCCTCATTTTCCAGGGGCATAAATTCTGATTCCAAAGTTGCCACTTTGTCAGAACCTCAACAAGACATTCAGGAAAAGAGACTGAACTCTGCTGTTTGGTCTTTGCCCTATCCTGGCTTGTCTTGCCATAGAGCAGAGATTTTCCTGTGTTTAAAAGTAACACTAACATATAGCTCACAAAGTGTCTTCATAAGCATTGCCTCTCACAATCTTTTTAAGTCTGTGAAGTAGACATTATTATCATCCCAATTTTATAGACAACACACTGACCCTTAGAGAGGTTAGTGGTTAAATACTTCACTTAGGATCACAGAGGATTGGGGACTCGTCACATTTCTCTAAATCTCAAGCTTTTCCCACTGTATCCGGGTCCCTCTGTTCAGATGTCTCTACACCATAGTAGCTTTGAAGGCAGGGGTTTTGTCTTATTCCTCTTTGTATCTCAATGCCATGAGATTGTTGAGGTAGAGAACAAAGTGAACTGGGCAGACATACCATGAGGAATGAGTAGATAATTAGGCAGTTATGTCTGTCTTCCCTCCCTCTCTTCCTTCCTTCCTTCCATCCTTCCTTCTGGCAATTAACATAATTTATTTGTTTATTCACTCATTCAGAGACATCATTTAGTCATTTCAGGCATCAGATCATTGATGCTTCAATCTGTGGTGTGTTTTAGTGCCTGGCTGAAGGACACCGTTGACCCAATGCTGGTGACCCTTAACCACCGCATTGCTGCCCTCACAGGCCTTGATGTCCGGCCTCCGTATGCAGAGTATCTGCAGGTGGTGAACTATGGCATCGGAGGGCACTATGAGCCTCACTTTGACCACGCTACGGTAATGGTGGAGTCAGTGACCAATCCTCTGGGGTAGGAAGCCAGGGCATTATTTATTTCTGTGAGGCAGAGCTCTTGTAGGCTCTCAGGGAATACTAAGTGAAACCTTAGAACAAAGGTTCTTGTTCTAGAAACATCTGAAAGCATTAGTTTCAAGCATATTGTTGCTGACTCATTTTCTTGTCTGCCACCATCTCTCTTCTAAAATTTGCTGGTGAGGGAAGAATGTGGCTTGTCATGGAATCATCTGACTTCTTCACTCAGGGACTTCCTGGTGAGGATTGTCCTTCCTCCAGTAACTCTTCTATCCTCATGATCTCAACTGGCCATCTTTGCTGATAATAGCAAATATATATATATTTTTAATTTTAGATTCATGGGGTATATATGCTTGTTTTTTGTTTACGTATTTATTTATGTATTTTTTTTTTCTTTATAGGCAGGGTCTTGCTCTGTTGCCAAGGCTGCAATGTAGTGGCACCATCATAGCTCACTGCAGCCTTGAACTCCTGGGCTAAGCGATCCTCCCATCTCAGCCTCCCAAGTAGCTCTAGGACTACACCTGGCTAATTAAAAAATTTTTTTTTGTAGAGACAAGGTCCTGCTATGTTGCCCAGGCTGGTCTTGAACTCCTGGGCTCAAGCAATCCTCCCACCTCAGTCTCCCAAAGTGCTGACATTACAGGAGTGAGCCACTGCACCCAGCCGTGCTTGTTATATGGGTATTACATGTGTAATGGTGGGGACTACAATTCCAGTGTACCCATCACCCAAGTATTGAATGTTGTACCTGATACGTAATTTTTCAATTCTCACTCCCCTTTCACCCTCCCCCATTTTGGAGTTTCCAGTGTCTGTTACCTGCATCTTCATGTCCATGTGTACCCATTGTTTAGCTCCCACTTATAAGTGAGAACATGCAATATCTTATCTTCTGCTTTTGAGTTAGTTCACTTAGGATAATGGCCTCCAGCTCCATCCATGTTGCTGCAGAGGAAATGATTTCATTCTTTTTATGGCTGGAGAGTATTCCATGTTGTATATATACCATACTTTCTTTATTAAATCAACCATTGATGGACATTTAGGTTGGTTCCATTACTTTGCTGTTGTGAATAATGCTGCAATAAGTATCTGGGGGCAGGTGTTTTTTCTTTAATATAATACTTTCTTTTCCTTTGGGTAGATACCCAGTAGTGATTTTTGAGGATTAAAATCACCTCCCCAAAATTGATCTATAAATTGAACCCCAGCTTTATAAAAATTCCAGGAGGGTTATTTTTATAGAAATTAATAAGCTGATCCTAAAATGTATATGGAAATGCAAAAAACCTAGAGCAGCCAAAACAATTTTGAAAAAGAAGAACACATTGGAGGACACACACTACCTGATCTCAAAACTTAGTATAGAGCTACAAGAATCAAGGCAGTGTGGTACCAGTGTAAGGAGAGACACATAGGTCAATGGAACAGAACAGAGTCCAGAAACAAACCAACACATTTATGATCAATTGATTTTGACAAAGGTGCCAAGGAAATTCAGTGAAGAAGATATAATCTTTTCAATAGATGGTATTGGAACAATTTAATATCTATCTGCAAAATAATGATGACTATACATCCTTATCTCACACCATATATGAAAATTAACACAAAATGGATCATAGATGTAAATGTAAAACTATAAAACTTCTAGAAGAAAACATAAGAGAAAATTTTTGTGACCACAGGTTAGGCAAAGATTTCTTAGATAGGACACCAAAGTATAATCCATAAAAGAAGAAAAAAACTGATAAATTGGACCTTATCAAATTAAAATTCTTCGCTTTTCAAAAAACATCGTTAGAAAAGGAAAAGATAAGTCACCAACTAGGAGAAAATATTTGCAAGTCATATATTTGGTAAAGAACTTGGATCCAAAATATCTATAGAACCTTTATAACTCAGTAATAAGATAATTCAATTTTTTTAATGGACAAAAAGTTCTTTGAGTAGGCACCTCTCCAAAGAGGATAAATGAATGGCTGAGAAGCATATGGAAAGATGTTCGACATCATTAGGGAAATGCAAATTAAAACCACAATGAGATAGCACTGCACTCTCCTACGATGGCTACAATAAAATAAGATAATACCAAGTGTTGGTGAGGATGTGGAGGAACTGAAGCTCTCATACACTGCTAGTGGGAATGCAAAATTATATAGACACTTTGGAAAAAAGTTTGACAGTTTCTTAAAATGTTAAAGGTTTACCTACTTATGATCCAGCCATTTCACACCTATGTATTTTACCCAAAAGAAAAAGAAAATATGTCTCTACAAACACTTGTCCACAAAAGTTTATAGTAGCTTTATTTGTAATAACCAAGAATTGGAAACAGCCCAGATGTCTGTCAATAGGTGAATGGATAAACAAATTTTGATATATCTGCACAATGGAATGCTAGAGAGAGAAAGCAGATAAGTGGGTTGCCTGAGGTTGGAGGTGGGAGCAGGGATTGACTGCTAATTGGCATGAAGGAACTTTTCAGCAGATGGAAGTGTTCTGTGTTCTAAACCTCAATTGTGGGAATGATTGGATGACTGTTAAAATTTACTAAAACTTACTGAACAGTAGGCTTACAAGGGGTGAATTTTACGGAATGTAAATCATATCTCAAACTGTTCCATGACAAAAAGAAAAGAGTATGTCTCTTCAGCAAGTAATTGGAACTCTGGCCTTCTGATTTGGTATTCCTACAGAATAATTATCTGTAATATTTTATTTATTAATTGCTACATTTCACAGAAAACTCAGAGGTGCAATTAACCCCTTATATAGTACTTTCATTACTGACAAGTAGTTCTCTTTGGTTAGTATACAATTTTTTTATACAAGTATCTAATAAATTAGTAAAAAAAAAAAAAATTGTATTGAGTACCTGCCAGCAAAGGCGGGCACATACTCCAGTAGGTGTAGCTCAGAACTATATCCCATCTTTGATGCCCCCATTTTACTTCTATTTGTATTAATAGTGGGATCCTGCCTGTCCCACTGGTGCCATGTGCGTAAAATAATGATATGTTCTGTTTTTTTCTCAGTCACCAAGCAGCCCCCTCTACAGAATGAAGTCTGGAAACCGAGTTGCAACATTTATGATCTATGTGAGTCTTGCTCTGGGTTTCTTACTTCATAACTGACTATAGCTCTACTTTATTTTATTGTTTTCAAAGCAATTTCATATATTGATTTTATCTGGTATTCAGCACAAAAATCTCCCAGAATTGTGCAAATTTCAGACAGCATTTTTGATAGGCACTGTAGGAGATGTAAAGAAATACAAGACAAGGTTTCTACCCTTAAAGAGCTGACAGTGTGTAAATCTAAATATGACCTTGGTATGGGCAGTGGGTTAGGATGGGAAGTAGAGCTCCACTGAAGGCAAAGAGATAGAGAGACTTGAACAACACAGGAGGAGGATCTGAGAGTCTGTGTCCTTGAGGTCTCATGGACTAATCAGTGTTGAAAAACAACCCATAGATGAGGTTGTGGAGCTGTGGGGAGAGACAGGGATGAGGAATGAGGCAGCAGATTTACAAGAGGGAAGAATAGAGACACTGAGAGAAATTCAGCGAGTGCCGCCTCTGATATTTAGTGAAAATTATCTTCCTTATCTCTCTATAAAATCTTCAGTAAAATCTTCATGACACCCCTTTCAAAATAAAACAATAAATTGTACTTCTCTCCTAATTCCTGGCCTGATCAGGATTCGGCCCCAGTCTGTATCATCTCACCTATCCCCTTTCCTTCAGATCATGTGGGTTTACTTCCTTCTCTGTGGCAAGCCATAATTTCAATCACCTGTCACTGGAAGAGATTATTAGAATTAATCACTTATTAGAAGAGATATCTTACTGTTCACTGAAGGGGCTCTATATAACAACCAAGGATGAAGTCCTTGTTTCAGGCTCATTAGAATAACAGACATCCTGCACCCCAGCTTTTCCTCTTCTATTAGAACTGTTTCTGGTCTCCACAGGATAGCCAAGAAAGGGCAGTTGGAGGCCAGCATTCTGTGTAGTCTTTAATGCCAGCAATGTCAATGTGTTTCTCTATGTGGCTCAGTTCTGTACTGCCTATGGAACTGGAAGGCTTCCACTTACAATGGTGTCTGGCCTCATTCTGATCATTGGAGCTGCAGCTGGTTGCATCTCTGGTTTAGCACTCCAGCTGTCATGGGAGGTCACAGACAGTGAAAGAATGAACTACTGCCAAAAAAATAGGGCATCTAGGGCACAATATATCTCTGTTCTTTATCCCCTCAGTATCTTCTATGGCTGGTTCCCTCGTTACAGGGCCCCAGTTACTATAGCAAAGGTAGCATGGGTATAAAAGCCCAGTAATTTTAAATGGCAAGTGCATGTGTGTGTGTTTGTGTTTGTGCACGCACTCTCACACACTTTCACATGCATGTGCATGAATGTGCATTTGGGTTTTAAGTATTTGAGACACAGTGGAATGGAATGCACTTTGGGTTTGGAGTCAGTTGACCTAATCCTGATTCTGCCACTTACTATGTGACCTCAGCACAGATTACATCTATTATTTGAGCTCACTTTTCGCCCTGTGCTTCCTCATAGTGTTGTTGTGAGGATTTGATGAGATAATGTAAGAAGGGATGTCACTCTGGAAAGTTCCATACTGTATGTTTCTGTCATTGTATCCTACAGAGCAATTAAAGGAAAGGGTCTCGTAAAGGGGAATCAGTATCGTGGGACCTGGGAAGTGCTAGATTATGCCTAAGTCTTTTATCTGCAGGTTGGGATTTCTTGAGACAATTTCAAGACAAACATTTCTCAAGACAAATGTTAAGGTCTGTGGGAAAACTAAGACTGATATTGTAGGGAGAAAATAATCTTTAAGAAGTACAGAGGATTGAGTTGAGATCCAGTTGGTGATTTTCTGCTCAGATTGGACATGAGATCAGTCCCAAGCTGGGTGCAGTGTGTGCACCTGTAGTCCCAGCTACTTGGCAGGCTGAGGCAAGAAAATCGCTTGAGCCCAGCAGTTTGAGTCCAGCCTGGGTAACAGAGTGAGAACCTGTCTCTATTAAAAAAAAAAAAAAATTCCGCCCCAATACAAAACAGTAGAAGGTATACAGAGGGAAGATTTCTCTCCCTTCCCCACTGTTCTCATGGCCCATGCTGTGCTCATGAGATTCATTGCACGCAGAATCTGATTTTCTTTTTAGTGTGTTGGCTATGTCATTCCTTTCCACCATATTGTAAAACCACAGGTAAAAGAATGCAGGAAAGTCCAGGTTGCCCCTTACTGGCAAGGGCTGGAATAGAATAATCTAATTTGTTAGTTACTTAAACACAAGGAACCAATTGTTGTTCTTGTCGGCTTTCCCAGTGTGCTACAGGGGGAGCCAAGGAATGCTGATAGTCACCACTGTCGTTTCCAGGTTCCAAATCACCACGTCAGTTCACTTGCATCTACCAAGGGCCAGCATCCTACCTCCTATACCTCTTGCTCTGTAACACAAGTAAATGTGCTGGGATCTGACTGCCATAAGATTAAAGAGCATGAACCTTCCAGTAGATAGTGCTAGGCAGCGTGAGGTAAAACTGGCACTTTTGTGTGATGCTACTGCTGCAAAAATAATTTAGCAAAATGTGTAAGAAGTATAAAACTTACGCATATCCTTTTGACCCCATAATACTAGTGCTAAGACTCTTTCCTATGAAAACAATCCAAAATGCAAAGTGATTTGTTTTCATTAAGTTGTTCAGTGCAGTGTTGTTTATAATAGTAAATGTTTGGATATGACCTAAATTTCCAAAGGTGTAGCATGATGGTTATGAGCGGGGGCTTTGTAGTCACACGGCACTGGCTCAGCTCAAATCCTGGCTCTGTCTCGGAAGAGTCATGTGACCTTTTATAAGGTACCTAAGCTCTCTGAGACTTGGTTTCTTCATCTGTAAAATGAGAAGAGTTAAAAATAGTAACAATTGTAACTCCTAGGATTGTTTTGAGGAATAAATGAGATAATATATTTATAAGGACATAGTGTAACGTCTAGCATATAGTCAGTGCCCAATAAATGTCAACTATCACTAAGTGAACTGTAACTTTTTTCTGGATGGTACAATGATAAGTATTGTTATTTAAAAATATTTTCCTGTTTTAAAAAAGTTTATAATTATTATATATTTCTGTGACAACCAGAAAAAAAGCTTCACATTAAGAAAACATATCCATAATCCTAGAACAGACCAGTGATGAAACTCCTTAGCTTGGGTTTCCTGGAGAGGAGCAGAGTGATCTGGAGAATATGCCAAAGGTGTAATGAGTAGTTCCTATGATGCCCAGCTTCCAAGAAGAATCATAGTCTAAACTGGTTTTCAAGCCACAAGTCATGATTCGTTATAGGTTGTGAGATTAGTTTAGTGGTTCTGATGAGCATTTCAGAGAACTACGCTAGAATAGAATAAAACAAAATAGAGAAGATCAGAAGTTATCTCAGTAAGAATGTTTTATGACAATTATATTTCAGGCTGTGTGTGTGTGTGTGTTTGTGTGTGTGTGTGTATGTGTGTGTGTGTGTCTTGGGTCATTATTTAAAATGTATTTTTTCCTAAGGGTCTCAGTCAAAAAAGTTTGAATCTACTTATTGTAGCCCTCAATAAGGATGTTAACTGGAAGGGAAAAGAAAGAAGGAATACCAAAACATTGTCCTCTTGTGGCCCTGTAGGCAACACCAATGCCATTGAGTAGGCTCCCGAAATTCCTCCTAAGTTGGATCACTGTCTTTCAAGTATTTCTCTCAGAGTTGAATAGAAGACCGTGGGAAGGAATCTATGCAGAAATGACGTCATATGACAGAGTAGGGAAGTCGGTGGCTGTTTTAACTCTGGCTTCTTCCTCTGGTCTTGTAGCTGAGCTCGGTGGAAGCTGGAGGAGCCACAGCCTTCATCTATGCCAACCTCAGCGTGCCTGTGGTTAAGGTGAGTGGGGCCCTGGTCCCAGAAGATGGAGTTGAGGGAGTGCAGCGCTCACCCCCTAACCTTCACGCTCTCTGTGCTTGCAAGCCCATTCCTGGGAGGAGGGCCAAAAAGAGATCTTCCCCAATTCTCAGAATCACAGATCATCCAATAGTCTTCTTTACTATCACGAACATACTTGTCACTTGTGCCTCTATTTGTTATTTTATTTACACTTACCTCGCGAGTAGATGATTACACGTCTGTCTTCCCTGTCACAGTACAGCTCCTCAAGATAAGAGCTCTGTTTTATTTACTTTGGATCCTCTACAGCGTCTAGTTCCTTCCATTATTAGTTCAGTCCACATTAAGAGCTAGAGACACAGTGGGTGCAGAGGGAAATTCATAGCCCTTTGATCCAGGAGTTTACAGAGATGTCAGCAGGCATTCTGATGGTGCAATAGGAATTTGGAAAGGATAGGCACTGAGGAGAACCGAGTGTAAGAGGTTTGCTTCATGAATGAGCATTTCCTCCAAATTTCAGATCAGTCCAACTCCCTGGCAGCTCTTACCTAATTTAGGAATGAAATGTAGATAACTAAATGAGATCATTCCTGTAAAGCGGGTAGTACAGTGCCTGACGCATTCTAAGCATTTGATAAATTAATGCCAGGTATCTCTGAATGCTCAGGAACTTGGTGCCTCTTGTAGGCTTGGGAACATAGAGACTGCCGATGCATCCTGGAAAGCTCTTCATGACCTGGGGTTTTGTCTACTTTGAGGGCCAAAGTTAAAGTAATTTGACTACAGGAAGTAGATAGGGCAAAGAAGCAGTGTGTGGGGGAAAAACATACAGGATTTAGCGTCAGAACACCTGGGCTTGCGTCCTCACTTTGCTCCTTCTTTTGCTGCATTATTTAATGCCCTGGGCCTCCAGTTCTTTGCTAGGAAAATGGGGACTATGATACTGCCTGCTCCCTGAAGGTGTTAGTCATAAGTGCCTACGGGAGGAAAAACTTCTGAGTTGGTGATGTGCTTGGCTGTGTAAGGAATATTTTGTTCCACCTTGTGGTTTTGTTGGGTGTTTCTCCTCAGTGACCCAATGACAGACATGCTCACCTTTCTCCCAGAACTCACCATGCTGTCTTGTTCAGGTCTGTTTTATGTCTGTTTCTTGTGAGCTCCTGGAGAGCAGAACTGGACGTGATTTGTCTCTGCAGCCCCAGGACCTGGGGTGCAGTGGACTCTGTCAGTGACGCATGCATGAATGAGTAAATGGCAACTTATGCCATTTTGTGCCATTTTATGCATGCATTGCCCCCAGACTGCATGGAAAGGCTTCTTCAATGACATGCCTGCATTTGTCCTTAGTATGTGCTTCCCGAGGACTGAGGTTCTGGACTGACCCTCCCTGGGGCTGGGCCCTCTTGTTTCAGAATGCAGCACTGTTTTGGTGGAACCTGCATAGGAGTGGTGAAGGGGACAGTGACACACTTCATGCGGGCTGTCCTGTCCTGGTGGGAGATAAGTGGGGTAAGTCCTGCCTTTCTAGCATGAGAAGGGGGTACGGGGTGCAGAGTAGAGTGAAACAGGGGATGGGTGGGACCTAGCACAGCCATCCCATTCTAAACGCTTCATTACAGTGCCACATTATATTGAGAAGATCGGATTATGAATGAGGTGCCCCCAACAGATTGCCCCATAACAGGCAGGGGTTCCTGTTACAGAGTAACTGTCAGTAAAGGTTTATTCACCTGACCAGATAGGCTTTGATTCCTGAGGACCTCCAGAGAGGAATATGTTGTCCCATCCACACTCTACCCCAAGGAAAGATGTGTCAAGCCATTGCCTCTCGCATTTAGTGTTCCCCATGAGGAGGTGGGAAAACAAAGAAGAGATCAGTAAGCAGATGGACGTGTTTATGTCACATATACGTCCAGGAGCACTTAGCTCTGAATACAGAAAAAGAAGTGGAAGGGGGCTCATGAGCTGAGGTGGAAGCTGCCAGGAGATGCCATCTGTTTTTCTCTCAGTACTCTGCAATGGCTTCACGGGGGACATGGGCTTCTAAAATGAAGGGTGAGTGACCTTAGTTCCCAAACATTTGAAAATGAGTTTCCAGGAGACAGGACCTGTCACATTTTTCCAGAGGACGATGTCCTCTTTGCTATTTATCTGCTGGAACAAACAGCTTGTAGTCCATAGTGAGGCCAGGACTAGGATGGGCAAGTGAGTTGCCTAGGATGCAGAATTTAAGGGGGTACTCACATGCCCCTGTGAGTGCGCACCAGTCTGCAGCACTGCTGCTGTTTGCTCTACTGAGTCTGCTGTCTCCTTCTTCCCCGTTCTCTCCCAGTGGCCAACAAGTGGATACATGAGTATGGACAGGAATTCCGCAGACCCTGCAGCTCCAGCCCTGAAGACTGAACTGTTGTCAGAGAGAAGCTGGTGGAGTCCTGTGGCTTTCCAGAGAAGCCAGGAGCCAAAAGCTGGGGTAGGAGAGGAGAAAGCAGAGCAGCCTCCTGGAGGAAGGCCTTGTCAGCTTTGCCTGTGCCTTGCAAATCAGAGGCAAGGGAGAGGTCGTTACCAGGGGACACAGAATGTACGTTTGATCTGCTCCAACCATGGGAGTCAGAGTAGGATGCATAGTACAAAGGAGGGGGGAGTGGAGGCCTGAGAGGCAAGTTTCTGGAGCTCAGATACTCTCTGTTGGGAACAGGACATCTCGACAGTCTCAGGTTCGATCAGTGGGTCTTTTGGCACTTTGAACCTTAACCACAAGGACCAAGAAGTGGTAATGAGGACACCTGCAGGAGGGGCTAGCCTGACTCCCAGAACTTTAAGCCCTTCTCCCTACTATCTTCTGTTGCAGCCCAAGTAGGGAGTGTCCCCCTCCCAGAAGCATATCCCAGACGAGTGGTACATTATATAAGGACTTTTTTTAAGTTGAAAGCAACTTTCTTTTCTTTTTATATGATGGCTTTTTAATGCAGTCATTAAAAATGTTTACAAATCATTTTCCCAACTGAGAATATTCTTACATTATAATGCTGAGTGGAAAAAAAGGCACAGTACTGTTGGCCCTCCACATCCATGTGTTCCCCATGTATGGATTGCACCTCAGATTGAAAATATTTGAAAAAAAAAAAACCATGGCTGATAACAGACTTTATTCTGTACATGCTCAGTACAGAAAAAATAGATTGTATTGTATCCCCTAAACAACACAGTATAACATCTTCTTACACAGCTTTTAAATTGTGTTAGGTATTATAAGTAATCTAGAGGTGACAAAGTATATGGGAGGATGTGTACAGGTTGCAGGTTATATGCAAATACTACACCATTTTATACAAGAGACTTGAACATCTGTAGATTTTGGTGTCCTCTTGAAGTCCTGGAACCAACTCCCCATGGATGCTGAGGAATGACTGTACAGCATTTTATTTATGCTGTAATCTCAGTGCAGCTCACCTCCCACCACTGTCCCCGGCTACATTCCAGATACTGGAATTCTTTCTTGTCCCCATCACCACCATGTCCATCACCACCACCTTCACTCCCACTTCTCAGCCCTTGACATTTGCCATCCCCTCAGTCTTTCCACCGCTGAGCTCTTTTCGTCATTCCACTCAATGCAGTGGCTCAATATTACCTCACAGAGCTTCCATGACCATGCCACCACCCAGCCACTTTCTTTCATATGAACTGACTTTGTTTTCTTCATAACACTTCTCAGGATTGAAATGACTTTGTTCATTTGTTTAACTTTGGTCAGTTGCCTTCCTTGCAGTGGAAGTGCTTTGTGGCTGTGCTGTACTTTGTAAATGCCTCTATTCCAGCCCTCAGGTCACCGAATTTCAATGTCTATGTATTTGCCAGGCTGCCCCCTCTAGGCTCTGTGCTCCTCATTCCTCTCGGTAGCCCCAGAAGAAGGTCTGGTTCAGCGTGAGGAGGCGTTCAGCAGTTCTGAAAGGCATCCTCTGAGCTGTGCTCTGGAGGACATAGACTTTTTGTAAGTGGAGTGTGATGAGAAGTGTTTCCCAGCAAAAGGCCTAGCAGGGGCTAAGGCTGCATGGATGGGTGATTGTGATATTTGGGCACTTGTGCCAAGAGAACATTTCAGGCCACTTGGCTCAGGATCCTTCATGGGGCTGTGGGCATGTATTGCTCACAAGGAAGCCACACAGTGTAAGGACTGGGTGGTTGGATGCCCGCCGTCTCTGCCCCTTCCCCGCAAGCCCGTAGGACCTCAGCTTCCCAGAGCTCTGTGGCCCCAAGGGAAAGGCTCTGATGTTCTAATACCCAGCTTCCTCAGAGTCTGAAGTGCATCTTGTCACATTCCCAGGATTTCTGCAGAGCACACCAGGATTCTGGAAATCCTCTTACTAAGTTACTATCACTACTCACAACCTGCCTCCTCCAGTTCCAAGAGGAACAGGCCTGAGACGAGACAGAAAGCGACTGTCTGCAGGGGAGGCTGCTCCCTTTTCATCACAGAACCTGGACTTCTCAGAATTACAGGATGGGTCTGAGCTAATCAGAGTATTGGCACTGTTCTAAGAGCTTCATGCGTTAAATATTTAATGCTCATTCCAACCCTATGAGGTCAATACAGTTATCCCCATTTTACAGATAAGGAGGCAGATTTATAGAGTTAAGTCACTTGTTGAGAGTACCACAGACTGGCCCCAAATCTTGCGCTTTTAATAATGTCTGAGATGGGGCAGTAATCAAACATCTTGACCAGGCGACTGAGACTCAGAAAAGTCTGGCTGCAAATTAATAACTGCTTAATGAGTAATCCTCAGGGGCAGGCCCTGGGCTCAGTGGGTGCTGTGGGGATACAGAGGATGCAGCCCTGGAAGCTGGGCCGGTAGGGGGATAAGACAAAATGCATCCTGAGTTCAGTGTCGTTGAAGCACGATGTGACGATGTTGCATGCAGAAAGAGATGAATGACCACTGAATGCTGCCATCAAGAGGGAGGGGAGCCTTGTGATTTGGGGTAGTTGAGAAAGCCTCATTTGTTTATTCGAGTCACACTGACAAGGTGCCTACTCAGTGTCAGGCCCTTGCTGGCACTAGGGAGGGAAAGGAGAATTACATGCTGACCCTGCCCCTAGAAATGGAGCAGACCCTCAAATCATCACGAGACATGTGGCCACGAGTGGAGACATGAACAGGCTGCATTAAGAGGCTCCCCTCACCCCTGGAAGTTTCATGGGAAGGAGGGACTTGAGCAAGTCTTGAAGATGAGCAGAGTCCCTAGAGGCTGAGGAGAGACCAGGCTGGGTGTATACTAGGGGGCATGCTGTAGGGACAGTGACGCTTTACTTTTGGCCAGCATGTTCATTGTCAAAACACTTTACCACTCCACTTGAACTTCACCTCCCCAGGGAGGAGAGCATAGCAGGTACTGTGGAAAGTGAGGTGGGAATGGTTAGTGGCTTCCTGGGGCTTCCTGGTAGAGCTGGGGCTGGTCTGTCTCCCTTACCAGTGTTCTTTCCACCAGACGGCTTTCAAAACCACGTTGCTCCTAGAGTGGAAAGGCCTAATTCTTATATTTGCACTAATTGTTATATTTGCCTAATTCTATATTTGCACTAGTCTCCATGCCCTCTGAATCTGACCAGTCCTGATAAAGTGGCATGGCCTTGGGTCCCACTTAGTAGATAGATAGACAGCTAATTCTAAGCAGGGTCAACTGTGGCTTGGGGCACTGATATTTTTATAATTTTATTTCTTTCTTTCTCAGACTCCAAGTTCAAGTGATCCTCCCGCCTCAGCCTCCAAAGTGCTAGAATTACAGGCATGAGCCACTGCACCCAGCCTGTTTCTTTCTTTCTTGCACTGTTCTGTGAGCTGTTTTCCAATAGCCTTGTCCAACCTGGGTTTCTGGCACTGCACTATATATCACTTGCAAGCCTGATTCCAGATAATATTCTTTACATTAAAGTCTATTATCATTATCATTAGTAACCATATCATTTATGATAGGCCAGGCGCTGTGCTGAGAACTTAGGTGTATTTGTCTCCTTTAAGCCTCAAAATGAGATGAGTACTATTATGCCCATTTTATAGATGAGGGAAACTGAGGCAGAGAAAGTATAACTTGCCTGAAGTCATCCAAGTATAAAATAGCAGAGGCAGGATTCAAATCCATGTCAGTCTGTCACCAAAGACCCTAACTAGCCCTCCGTTGTCTGTATTCCATGTTATTTTGCTGTCAATTCTGTGCTTCCATTGACAATAATCTTTTGGAGCCAATAATTTTACGGCAGGGGGATCTCCAACATTTTCCCAGGTATTGAAAATGTCTATCCCTTGTGCCACTGATGCCTAATAGTTAAGAACTCTTGTCAGATGTAGATATCTGTTGAATATAGGAATGAATCAGTTCTGCAAATGTATGGTGAACACTTGTTGAGTGACCTGCCCATGCTAGCTGCTTCATGAGAATCCAAGAAAAGAAGACAGCCTGCTCACTGCCCTTAAGGCAGAGCTGGTCCATGCCCAGATGTAAGCGAGAATTGGATAGAATCAAGTGGGAAGCTGTGTGCTGCTCATCCTAAGGATTGTGGGAGCTTGGAGCGAGAACAGGACCCTATGGCCAGAATATGCTGAGGGTGTCCACGTTAGAGCCCCAGAAACACATGGAAAGAGGAAGAATGTGTGCCTGTGCAATGCAAGGTGCAGCGGCCATCCTGCTTGTCCCTCTTTCAGACACAACAGGGGAGTAGAGAGAGCTGTCTGGGAGGAGAAAGCAAGAGGGTGTTGATTCCGGGGACTCTTGTTCAGTCATGCCAACGGCAGCACAAACTGCCTTCTCATAGAACCACTGAAAGAGTCTCTTGTTGGGGGGCCTTGGCTGCTCAAGCTGGGAGAAGCAAAGGAGCCTGTGTGTAGGGGCTGGGGTTGGGAGAGAGGGACATTGACCTGCAGATTGCTGTGTACTCAGTAGAACTATGAAATCGGCTAAGGGCTAGGGGGAGGAAACAAACATTTGTGCCTTCTCTTTGCCGTGGATCACTCTCCTGTATCATAGTCACAACAATTGTCATCCCTTTTGGCAAAGGAGGAAAGTGGGGTTTAAAGAAAAGACATCACTGAGTTCACACAGCCAGGGGCAGAACCAGGATCTGGAGCTTGGGGGGAAGTCTCCCACTTCTCCTAGCTGCTTCTAACCTCTTTCTGGACTTTTTCTCTCTTCCCCGCTGTGGACCCCCACAATTTTCTCCCCCTTCGGAATCAGAGCCTGCCTCTTTCCCTTCTTCCTCTCTGCCACATCTCTCTTTATATTCACTTCATTGGTCACAGGACCCCTCCCATGAAGTGCTTGATCTGCCCATTCTCCCTAAGGTTTGAGTGACAGAGTTTCCCTGTCCTTGACAGGGGCATATTTGCGTTAGAAATGGGTAGCCTGGTGAAATCAAAGATTAGCTCAAAGGAATAAGGTGCTAGGAGTGAATTCTAGGCACCAGGATGCCTGCATGGTGACAGTGTTTTTGGTTCAGGGTTCAAGGGCATCGCTCAGATGGAGCCCCATAGATAATGACATCCCTACCACCTTTAAAGTCCACCACATTTTCAGATGGAGCATAACTATAAAATAATGACCACCATGTCTCCTGTTCACCTGCTTATCACCTTATGGGGCTGGAGGGCAGTAGTTGGTTCCCCTGCCCTAGAAAAGTAAAGCAACTTGCCCATAATTCCACTGTGTGTCAGTGTCAGCTCAAGACTAGAAGCAAGGTTTCCTGGCTCAGAGACACACGCTTTTTCCAATGCGCCACAGGTGCTTCTTGGAACAGGTGCACAGTGGACAAATGAGCACAGACTGCATGTGTGGCCTGTCATTTATTCATTCAGCTAAGCATTCCTGATGTTGCCTCTGGGCCAGGACCTTTGCTGGGGCTGAGGATGCTGGGATGACTGATTGAGTCTCTGACCTTGAAGAGCTCCCAGAAAAGAGAACCCACAATGACTATACTAGTGAAATACTAGTGAAAATACT